TTTTTTTCTTTTAAAGTGCTTTTTCCCTTTGGGCAGAAAGCTGCTCCCTTTTCGTCACAGCCCGGATAATGAATTGCAGTGTACAAAGCCGGTCATACAATACGCAGCAGCGGCAGCGCGGAGCGAGAATCTTTGGGAAGAGTTTCCATAGAAACATTGACGTCCTCCTGGCGAACAGGACACCGAGTTCCTTCAATGGGAGGTATGGGGTTTTAAAGGAGCAGCGAGGTGGCGGCAAGCCAAGCCAGCAGAGCTATGACTCTGCATCTCCCAGCAGAATAGGGGGTTGGAGCTGGTGGGAGGGGAARGGAGAAAAAAARAAAATAACCCAATTACCCTCGCATTATCAAAACGTCGGATTTGATGGTTGCTGCTTGAACGGTGCTGCACAGAGCCTGGTAAATAATTAAACTGCTGACCGCAACGTGTGCGAGAGCCGGCAGCCAAAAATCATAAATACTCGAGGCTGTGAACTAGCAGCTTCTAAAAAATCTTGTCAGATTTTGTCACAGACTTCATCCCCAGAAGCCTTAAATTCAGCACAAATCGGCATGACGCAGGCACAAACCTCCCGGGGACGAGCAAGGTTGCACCCGGCGATGCGCACCCTCCCCTCCCCTGCTTGTCTTGGAATGAGACAAGTGTTTTGCTAATGTTCCAGCTCTGTGTTTTAAATAGCCTCGTGTCTACCCAGCTAAATAGTGGCAGAGCAGCCCTGTCTGGAAGAGGCTGTTTCTAGAAGGAAAACAGTCAGAGGAAATGTTTTTGCCAGAAACGTTGGAAATCATACAAAACAAAAAAGGGAGCCTTGCAAAAGAATTCGCCGCCGAGCGCTCCCCAGTGTTTTTGTTCGGGCTCACAGAAGGCTTTGTTTYAGAGCAATTCCCAGATGAGACTAATGAAGGTGACAGTCCCTTCTCGGAAAGSCTGTGACCACCCCAAGGGATGTCAGCTGGAGCCTGTGGGGCTCTGGCTCCACACCCGGAGCGAGCGCATCTCAGCCGGACACAGCGAGCGGCCACCGACCCAACGGGGCTGCTCTCAGCCTTCACAGCTTCCTCCAGCTTCAACCCTGAGCTGGAGACCTCCAGCACAATTCAGGTGACTCTCTGGGGCAGCTGAATGCAATTCAGGGCCTTGTGTGTCCCAAAGAGACTCATGGAATGACTTGGGCTGGGAGGGACCTTAGCACTGGTCCAGTTCCAATCCCCTGCCATGGGCAGAGCCACCTTCCACCAGACCAGGCTGCCCCCAAAACCTCATCCAACCTGGCCTGGAACACTTGCAGGGATGGGGCAGCCACAGCTTCTCTGGGCTATCCATACCAGGGCCTGACAACCCTCACAGGGGAATTTCCCCTTTGTACCTAATCTAAACCTGTCCTCTGTCAGCCTTAAAAACACACAGTACCTAAACATCTTCTTGGGGTGAGTCCCACGAGGTGAGGAGCACCCATTGCAGCTCTTCCTCTATTTCTCTTTAGCACAGATATCTCAGGGGTGACTCATTCACCCAGCAAACCCCTGTGGTTTCYTTGGAGCAGGGGGGAAGCTGAGCTCCACCAGGACAGCTCAGAGCAAGGAAGGAACTTTGCCCCATGCAGAAGCAGGTGCCGTGCTCTTAAACTAGCAGGAGAGCTTCTGTTATTCAAAACTATCCTGCAGCTTTCCGCACATCTATTTCTTGTTCAAACCCCTCCAGAGCAATCACCAGGGAGTACAAGGCATCCACAACCCCATCACAGTGGACAGGAGCCCCGGGTACCCTGTGCCTTCCACAGCCTGCTCCAGACAGTCTTCAAAGGCAAACCACTGCAGTCAGGCTGCTGACCTTAATCCCTGTCCTTTGCAACGCTCAGAGACTGGGGCTATTTATACTGCTCTTATTGCAATGCTGRAAACTCTTTGCTGAAAGCTAAATTATTTCAGATCTATATGGGTGTGATGCCACATGAAGTTCTGGTTTATAATTTTATAGCAAAGACATCCATTTATTCAGTGGGCTCCAGGTAGGACGTTTGATACAGGATGTGGCATTGATCTATTTGCAGAATGTTTGCAAGAAGATCATTTTGGTTCAACCCGTTCAGCAGGATTTTGCTGTAGACACAGACAGAAAAGTCCACGAGTCAGAGGATCTTGAAGAAGTGTCTTGAGTTTAGGGACTTATTCAGATTGTTTCAAAGGGTGATGGCAGGAATGACTTCAAAGGGAATAAGAAGAGAAGGTAAAACAGATATCCATCTTCCTGAGCAGAACCTAGCTCTTTTCATCCATTTGTCTCAGAGTGTTGCTTTACCCTGTTTTGTGGTTGCAGAAGACTTAGAAATAAGGACCCATTTAGAATGAGCGATGTTTTACTTGAGCACTTTGTCCTTACTTACAAGGTAGRGGAATTTGAAGGCTCATTATTCTTTCTTGATTAACATCCCTTTATAAGGTGYTCAGCTAGCATGACAATGAACCTGATTTAAATATCCAGGTAGGCTGGATTTGCATGTGCCAGGAAAAGCCTGAAGGCAAACCAGAGCCCACACCCACCACSATGAGGCAGCTGGGTCAAGGTGGGGCTGGGGACAACGCCTGGAGCTGCTCTGGAGGGGCAGGAACCGTACCCAGACCAACCCACAGCACACGGGAYTCACGTGCCCCATGGACCTGTTTGTGCCCACACAGAGAGAGCTCAGTTCTCCTGRATGAGGAAGGAATCCAGGTGGAGCAGGGGGATGCTCTGGTTTGACTGCAGCTGGGCCCTCTGAGCACCTCAGCATGGTGTTTCTGGAAGAGCAAGCAATAAATGAAATTATCTACTTGACTGGTATTAAACCGGTGCGCTACAGCAGCCCCACATCTCCCTGAATCAAATCTGATCACAGCACTTCCTTTGCCAGAGGTGCTCTCTCTTCTCTTCCAGATGATCCACAGAGCTCAGTGCTGTGCTGGGGGGTGATTTTAGGTGAGGCACAGGCACTGCCCCGACCGAGCTGCTCTTGCTCCAGCTGAACAAACCCTTTTCAGAGACACTTAATGAAGAAATTGCACTTAAGTTTTATGAAGCCTGGTGGCCCCTGATTACCCCTTTGGTGCAGTGTTGAACTGGGGGGGGTAAATTCCTTACTGAAAATGAGGTAATTCCCATTAAGGGCAGATTTATGTGCTGCTGGCAGAACCATGCACTGGGCYGGAGAGGCTGCAGCGACGCCTCGGTGATTCCGTACTGGCTCATGCTTGGTGGAGAATTCCTACAAATGTCTCTGCATGCTGCTCACAACTTGTGTTTGGCTTAAAAAAGAAGACAGGCAGTTCCCTTTCCATATCTTGTAGTCAAGAGCTGTCAGAGACATGTAGATGTTTCTATTCAGGCATTTCTGTTCAGAGGAAGTGTTGGTGCCCTGCTCGCTGGCTGAATCAGGAAAGTCTTCCTCTGCACCTGAGCCTGTGTGGTCATTCCCTTGGGGTGGATCTTCTGGAAAACTGCAGCCACGAGGAGCCACAGCCAGCAAACACTTTGCAAATCCRCCACCCAGCCCCACTGCTGCTCCTGGCCTAGAGCCTGTGCAAACAGCAGGGAAATCGTATTCCCTGTGATGCATCGCCTGAGCTTTCCTTCCAGCAGATCCTGCTCCTTTTTCACATCAGCTCCTCTGCCGAATCTAGGACACAAGAGATGCTCAATCCTGCCTTCTGGGCTCTCCTTCATCAGATTTACAACGTTTTTGTGCTCCAGCAGTAATCACAAGCTGCTCGCATTAAATGCCACGCTATTGGAAAGTCTTTCCGAAGGGCTCTGAGTCTTTGATCATTCCTTGTAATAGCAGAAAACAAAATATTTCTTTCAACGATGAAAAATGAATTCCCACTTTATCCTTCAAAATGGTGGTGGATTTCTGTGCCTCAGATGTGATGCAAACGCATTGCAGTGGCCATTTTGTACACCTAAATTTCCTAAAAACAGCTGAAATTTCCAAAGTGAGGATCCCATCACTTCTAGCATTGCCTTGGAGAGCGAGACCCTGTGCTGAAGAATAACAGAAAGGAAGAACAGATTTTTTTTAAAGATGGAAATTTGATACCAAAAATTAAGCATGGCCATAACAATTACAGCCATCTAGTGGGCAAAATTAACAAAAAGAAATTTAAAAATTTATATTCAATTTCAACAGTAAAATACTTATAAATGAAAGAGGTCTAGCATGTGACCTGGGGAGCAGCTTTCACTGTTTTGGTTTTTTTTTTTTTAACCTATTCTTCAGGAATACATAAAATCTCAAATATTTTCCTTTTTGCATTGTAGTCAACAAATATTAGGAAAATTAGATCTCATCTGGTGCTACTGTTTTAATGAGGGACTTGCTGAGAGCATCCAATGAAGTGTGTTATTGCTCWCACTGCAGCTGAAGGGACAGGACTGAATTTTTTAACAGAGATTTCCTTTCTCCAACTGGCTCATTAAATTTTAAAGTTAGATATATGACAACACAAGCTTTAAGTTAAGTAGTTGGCAACAAATCAACAGGCTTCAGAGAGTGATTAAGGATCTCTTTCTGCAGAYGCTTTGTACATGTTCTTTTGGCTCTTGATGCCATCCATCATTTCAGGAGCTCCTCGGGCTTCACAGGGTATTTCATGTTGATAGGATCTCCAGTGAATTTCTACTGAAAAAGCCAATTGGAAAGTAAGCATTTCATCTGAATCTTTGCATATCAAAAGGAAGAAAAAGTACATCCTTTTCTTTATCTTACTTTTATATGGAGCATATGGGCTGAAATGCTGAACCTCAGATCTGAATTCCAAAAACTCCAAAGAATTTTGATTTAGCCCATAATGAAATCTGCACCGGGATTTCATAACAATGCATTTTAATCCACTTCCAAGAAGGGATAAGATTCTCTGTGAGAGGGTTTACTCTGTTAGAACTTTTGGGCTGTTTTTCTTTTTTTTCTTCAAACTTAGTCATCTGCACTCAAGATTTAAAAAAAAACATATTTACAGAACAAACAAACCTTCTCAGAATAATCTCCGCAGGCTTTTGATCGCATGCCTCGGAGTGGAAGAACAGGCTATAGGATCTCTCAGCTCTGTGACAAGAAATAACTGGCTGTGAATTTTGGAAATCCTCTCTGGCATGTGTTCAAGCCGGTATTAATGCAAACCGCCCCATGCCGATCTCCTGACTCACCCCAAACGGCAGCTCCCGACACTCATCCCTGGGAAGAGAACAAAGCAGCTCCTCCCTTCCTTCCTGAAACCTCACGTGCCCCAACTGCTGCTGGACAGGACCATCTTCTGCCTTTCCAAAGGTTTCATTTGGGGCTGAGGCTGTGCCACTGGATCTTGAAGGGCTGTTTGCAGCAGTAAAATTGGTCCAGGCTCCCCATTTCCCGGGCACAGAGCATCCTTCAATCAGTCCTGGTGGTTTCACATTCGGGGCGTGAAAACCTCTTTGCAGCAAGAATGTCAAATTCTCCTTGTGCCTCTGGTGCAAATCTCTTTGAAGACAGCTATATGTCAATGACAGCATTACGTTGCTCCTAAATTCTGTGTATATTTATAGGACTCCATGGTATTTTCCAACTCAAGATACTCTAYGATTCTATGGGGTTTGTGTATTTATATATTATTTACATAGTGTATAAATAYCCAAGTAACCATTATCCAGATGCAGGCAGCATTTGCAAAGGAAAATGTTGTTTAAATACCACAGTCCTGCAGAATCTTGTGTGTTGGACAAAATCTCGTCCCACATTTGTTTGTGCCCGTTTCAGGAGGTTTTTTATTCCTTGTCCTGCAGGTGAGAAGTGAGGAGTCAAGGGTAGAGGCTATGCTGCTCTAACCATGAATTTCTTGACCTGTGACAGTTTTGGTTTTTTTAATCACAGCCTTTTCTAAGAACAGGCTGTGCAGTACAACTTGCCATATAAAATCCTGGATAGATACGGAGCTGGATTTGTGATGCAGTTACTGGTATTTCATTAACCTTTATCTTGACAAGTGGAAATAACACGCAGTGATTCAGGGGAAATTTTTCACTTRCAGAGAAAAATGGTGCCAAAAGAAAGCGAATGGGCTAGAAATTAATAAATACAAATCTCAATGGAAGGAATCAGCTTTCAGCTGGACTTGGCCCCTTGTCTGTGTTTCAGATGCATCGGGGCTGTTGTGATGATGCTCYGTGGGGCTCAGGAGCCTGTGGGTGACCCCAGCCAGCTTTGGGGACAGGGTGCCTCCCTCCAGACTCACTCCTCTGTTTTTTCCACCCAGATGAAGACCTTGGCCTCAAGGATTGTCCATCCCACCATGGGCTGTGGCCTCTCCATGCCGTGTCGTGTCTTCAGCTTTGTGGTTCCGTTGGGCTCAGCTGCTAAAAGGCTTTTTTACTACAAAAACACTGCTGGTACTCATGGGCCTGGTGATGTGGACATGCAATCACCAACCCTCCAAAACCCCAGGGAGAACCATTTTTAGGAGGACCTGGGCAAAACACAGCCTCCCTACAACTGCAGCCTCAACGGTGGCCAGCAGAGTCCCCCGGAGCAGACGACAGAGCTGGTGAGTAATAACGATAACTGATGTTTTTCCAAGTCAAAACCAGTCTGACTCACCACTRTTTTGTTTCTTTTATTGTTATTTGTATTGCTCTGATGCCAGACAGCAGATCTCAGTTATTGAGCCCGGGGTTTTATCACCACATAACAGGAGAAAGTGCCCTCTGAAATGCTTCCAGACTAAATCAGCAGGAGGCAAAAAAAGGGCAGAGCCACTGCTCGCTGCTGCCCTGTATTCCAGGGCTGAACCCCCCCAGTTGTCTGCTCCTCACTGAGCACCCTCACTCACCCATGGTGGCATTTTTTCCTGCTGGCCTTGCCTTGCTCAAATTCGAGGTTTATAAATAGTCAACAGCATTTGTTTCCCAAATAAAAGATCTGCTCTGCGCACGCGTTCCAGGACCCCTCGTGTTCCAGGGGGAGCACTTGCTGCTGGCAGGGGCTGCTCATATCTGCAGCTTTTCATCGAGATCAGGAGAAGGAGAACAAACCACGCCACCAGGAAAGGAGCAGGAGTGGTAAAACACYGTGGACATGGCAGTGGTCAGYCCTGGCCATTYGCTCTGGCCGTGCCAACACAGTCCYGTACAAGCAATTCCTGTCTCAGATGAAGTCAGGATCTATTCTTGGGCAGGGATAACATGGAAAATGTTTCTCTGGAGCTGGTATCTGCCAGGGATAAAGTCTCTCTCAACCAGTATCTGGCCCAGGATAAGTTTTGTACTGTTTGAGACACACATCAGCCTCTCAAGGCCTGTGCAACACCCTGGGTGATGCTGATGCAGGGAGCAGCCATACCCACCACTGCCCCTGYCAAGCAGAACAGATCCCATGGACTTCAATAAAATATCAGGGCCTGGATCCGTGCATCAACAGAAGCAGAATAATCCCCACATYCAGAGAGAAAAGCACAAAGAGAACCAAGATGTCAAAGAGACAAAAGCTGGCTGGGAGATCAATGCAGAAAAGCTCTGCACAAGGTCTGGGGTTTAATGAGAGCTGAGTAGGATGGGACTTGGCATAGATAGAAGCTATTAGGAACAGCAGAGAAGAAAGGAATATGCAGATAGTGAGAGGGGAGAACAGCTGGAAGAGGAGGCTGGGAGGAAAGCAGGTGGAGGGCTGTAAATTTTGGGTTGTGTGCACCAGTGAAACAGCTACAACCCTGCAAGGTGTGGCCAGGTATGGGAAAAGCYGGATGGTTCCAGAGGATCCCTGCAGGAAGGAAAGCTCCTCCTCTGCTTTAGGGGGACAGAAATGGTGGCAACGCTGACAATGGGCCCTCCTGCTCCTCCAAGGCTTTGTTCTGGCCTAAGAATTGGAGGCAGCTTCTCTGGCTTTGTTTTGGGGTTTTGGTGGGATTTTTGTTTTTATTTTATTTGATTTTTCTTTGTACTGTTGTTTTTGTTTTATGGGGCAGTTGGGTTATTTTTTGTTGTTTTTTTCAGGCAGAGTCCAGGTGGGTTCTGCAGTGGCTGTTCTTAACTCCTGCCCTGAGCTCCCTGGGCACTCCAAGCACCCCAGCATTTGCTGAGAATGACCCTAAAACTGAACTAAGCGTGTTCCAAGTGCCATCTCTGTGACAATGGCTTGGGCTCCCCATGGCAGAGGTGCTGCTGAAGCTCTGCTGGTCTGACCCACCATGGTCAGGGTGTCCCAGGCTGGCATCACCACCCAGGACTGGCCTTTGCCACCCAACAGCAGCACAGCAGGTGGGCAGAGGGTGGGGGTTTGCTTGAATTGATCTCAGCTCACATCTTGGCTTGGGAAGACATGCCTGGCATTCTGGTCAGCGGTGACTGACTCTTGAAATAAATCATCAGCCATTCTGGAGGGCTGTGTATTAGGACAATTATTGCTTTCTCCCAGCCTCAGCTGTGTAAAAATGCATCGCTTCTCTTTATGAGAAATTCTCATCTCTCTCTGTCAGTCATCTTGTCTCAGTGGGGAAAAAAATCCCCAAGCCCTGTCATATCAGAAAATGAGAAAATTATCAATATCTAGAGTGTGTGTATGTGAAAAATATGAGCTCTTTCTCCATTTGGGAGAATGAATCTTGGTTGTAATGTCTTATAAATGTTAGCAGCTTCTCAGACATTCAAAAATGTTAATGATCCTGAGCTACCAAAATAGCTTGCCGTGGAGTTCTCCATATTAAAAATCCTGTCTCGCCCTCTGCAGCCATCTCCAAGTCTCTCTGAGATGAGTGGTCCTGCACATGGCTTTTTTGGGGAGCAGAGGCAGGATTGGTACGTTCATGCAAACACAACCATCTCTGATGATTGCCTGCGTATGGGGAGTCAGGATCCAGCTCTGGTGCCTGAGATCAGCTTCATAAATACTATCAGCTTCCACCCAGMGTAGGAATAGAAAAATCTGCCAATAGCTGTAGCTTGGAATAGGAATCCTTGAGTAAAGGAAATCTCTCTTCTTCAGATTTTCGCTGGACTCGTTACGCTGTCTTCAGGACAGAGAGGGGACAGCTTCAAGGAGGGGACAGCCCCAAGGAGGGGACAGCCCCAAGGAGGAAGCACAGGTTTGAGTCCTGGCTCCAGTGAAGCTGCCTGGTGTCACCAGTGGAAGGAAGAAAAGGGCAGAAGTTGTTCCTTCTCCAGGCACTCCTGTGGCAGGACTCACAATTACATCTGCCTCTGTTCTGCTATTTTCCTTTTCAAAATCTGTCCCTTTTGCTTCTCTGAGTCATCAATTGTTTTATTTCCCTACCAGATTAGATTGTTCCTCTCACTGTAGCTTTGGGCTTTTGCAGATGAATGGGACCCAGGAGACCCGAGCATGGGGACTGAAGACACAGCAGAACACAAAAAGGGTGGCTGGCGCTCAGCAGACACCACAAACCACTTAAAATATCTTTTGTTTCTTAGCTATTGTTTGGTTAAATGTGGTACCTGCAGAGCGAGCAAGGGGCAGGGACAGGGCTGGGCTGTCAGGGAGTGCAAGGTGAGGCTGCAGGGAGGGAGGCAGAGGCATCTTGCTGCGACCCTGCACTGGGCAAGTTGTTTTAAATGATTCTGTGCAGGGAAAGGCAGATTTTGGCAGAGCTTTGGGCTCCAGCCACGGGTAGATGGAGCTGTGGGAGTGCTGCTCCACCAGAGAGGTCCAGSCCACCACGCTGGGCTCCTCTTGCTCCCGCACCAAGGTGTGCTGGAACCTGAGGAAAGGATTCCAAATCTTCTTGGAGTCAGGCAGGTTGTTTCTGGGATGCTCAAGCTGGATGCAAGTGTCCCATTGCCAGCTCACAGATCCATCCCCCATAACCTGCTGGGACCCGAGTGCCCCCTCTGCTCCTCAGACAGCAGAAAACAAGGATCAAGGCATTTCCAGGCACTTTAGCAACTTCTTTCTCAAAGCTTGTGCTGGTACTCCAAAGGGAATTACTCTTTGCCTGCGCAGTCCAGAGCTTTTTGGATGCACCAAGTGAATGAAATGTGAATTTTTTCTTTCTTTTCCCCATCAATTTCCTCTGTTCTGAAGCTGAATTGAGTTTTYTGATCTAATTGTCCTTCCCTTTCCAAACAAATAGAATGTCTTTGAAAAACTGCCTGTACTTTTATACACCCAACATCTGGTTTTGGTAAAAATTCTGTAACTTTTTAAAAGCCACTTGCAGTCTAGAGGAAGGGAGGGTGATTATTTAGTAGATGAACTTTGCCCTCATTTTTTAAGAAAAAAAACCTCATCCATTAATTCTGCTGCTGGCAATTGAGAAAGCAGTTGGGCTGAACTTTTAAGTGAACAAACACTTATGGATCTATTTATACCTGCCCTGAAGCAGACTACCATAGGTGGAAACGCTGTAATTATTTCCTCTCCCTGGTTTCCACTGTCCTATAAAGATCTCCTGGAGCAGCTTGTTAACAAGTTACTGCTGCCTATGGTGAAATTAGAATCAAGTCCTTATTAGCAACCAAACCAAATTGACTAAAAATGACTAAAACTGGCAGTAGCAAAGGTGAGAGGAGCTGCTCTGAGACAGCTTTTGCTGCTTAACCCCATCTATCTAAGAAGGCTGAGAATTAAAAATGACAAACGTGGCTGGCAGTTGAGGGGGGACAGGGACCCGAACAGGAATGATGGGGAGATGCAACATCAGCTTTCCCTGTGCTCCTTTTTCCATCWCTGCATGTTTCCAAATTAATTCCTCTCCCTGAAGAGTCCCCCTCCTTTGTAATCTTCCCACTCTTCTCCCACCCCCTTCTCCCTCAGTTTATTTCTCAGAGCAGATGATCTCCTCCGCTCACCATCCAGGTTAACTCTAGTTTCAGTATCGGAGATCATTTAGGCTGAAAATAGCTTTTACTGGGCCCATGTTACAAGCCAGGAGTGTCTGGTCAGCAGATAGGATCTCCAGCTGCCCCTCAGTCGGGGTTATCCCTGTGCCAGTACTCCCAGTTCCATGGCCTCAAGCCACTGAGCTTCGTCGCAACTCAAGAGGGTCATGGACTCAATTACAGCTGATTATGGACCACATGGGAGGAGCTGAGGAAACAGGAAAAAAAATCATTAATATTCATCCAAACAGCCTGTTCTTTAAAGAGATTTTTAGTTTTCATTGAATGTTTTTGGGGTTTTTTTGAAGTGACGTTAAACTGTTATCACTTTATGTTTATTAGGAAATGGCCAGTGGTGATATTTACTGTTGCCTTCAGGAGTACAGAGCTCACATGACTCAGATATGAAAATCAGCCTTTTACCTTTCAGAAGTATGAAATGCTGCCCTTCAGCTCCCGGCATGAAGTGATGATGTTTCTGGAGCCAGAGGATGGATGAGCTGTAAATCCCAGTGCTGGGAACTTCTGCCTCCCCTGCAGGACAAGGGAACAGCACCCTGAGCTGTCAACAGGCAGAGTCTGCAGCAGCTGAATGCAGTCAGGGGTGCTCTGTGCCTTAATGAACCCCTAAATGTCCAAGAGCACCTTTCCTTTGGGAAGATCTTCTAAAAATCATCTTTACTTTGTGCAACCAGCTCAGGGTAAACCAGCATTAGCAGCAGGTTGGATCAGACATCTCCAGAGGTCCCTTCCAACCCCAACCCTTCCRTGATCCTGTGACAATATCAGGARAAGTTTCTTCACCTAAAGGGCTGCCAATAATTGGAACARGCTCCCCAGGGCRGCAGTGGAGTCACYATCCCTGGAGGYATCTAAAATAATTGTAGWTGTGGCACTTGGGGACATGGTTTAGTGGTGGRTGCTGGGTTACAGCTGGACTYGGTGGAGTCTAGGATGGAGCTTTTCCATCCTAAAGGATCCAGGGATAAGATTTCACAGCCATGGCTGTAGGAAGAGCTACAGCGAGTGCCCAGGTGAGAGTCAGAGCAGAGATTTCAAAAGCCTCGCTACACTAAAGGAGTAAACAGCCTGTCTCCATAGCAGGAGATGCAAAGCAGGTACCAATTCAGAGMCGTGGTACAGCAATATTCTTTGGAAGATTTGCCAGATGGCTGGCAGCAAGACTTTTAAACTGACTTTTTTTCCCAATCAGCCATATCATCATCCATCAGACAGTCACTTTGGACTGACATTGCAGAGCGTGGCTGTCTCCTTATTGCCTTGCTCCTGTTTATTTCKAGCTGATTTATTTATATCTGGAACCGATATAAGTGGCACGATTTCTTTGTTTCATTAAAAGATTCCTTGATCTAAACTTTAAAAGATTTGTCTTCCRAGAGATCAAAGTCAACCCAATGTATGTCTGGCACCCCTCAGGTTTTCTGATATCCCAGCCTTCAGGTAAACCTGGAAAAGATATTTTGTTACRGAGTAGTAAATTCTGGTGACTGGGTTAAAGTGGAACTGACCATGAATTCTTGGGTACTAATACATGCCTATCATCCAGGATTCTTAATTATTGTTTTCCAAGAGGTAAAACAATGTTGACAGACAGTCAAGGTAAAACCCAGTGCCAACTGCAAGCATGGAAAATTACATCCCACTGCCCAGCAACTCACAGTCAAGCAAGTAAAATACGATTTGCACAGCTGAGCAGAGGCATTGTCAGGGCTCTAACCTAGGAGCCAAGCACTCCTAAACCCCATCTGTCACGACCTGTTGCTTATTCCTGGGAAAATAGCATGCAGCCAGCTCCCTAAAAGAGGCCATTAATTTATTAATTAATTAATTTTGGGGTGTGAATCTTTATGCCCCCAGATTTCTAGACGAATAGCGGCATGCTGTGACCAGGACAGAGCTGTCTCATTTATTCCTGTTGCTGTGGAAGGCATTTTTTCCCCGCTTAGCTCAATTATTCCAGGAATCAGCAGGTCTCAGAGCACACCCAAGCCTCGCTGCCTGTTACCTGCCAGTGCCATGGAAAAGACAGGGTGTTTGTGGGTGCTTTGAAGGAGCAAAGCTRCACAGAATTGCTGAGTGTTATTGTGGAAGGTTGGAGTATGTCCTGGATATGAATCATCTTGCTCTTTCTGACCTACTGTCCTAATTGAGAGTCATTTATTCCTCAGACGCTCGTCACTGCCCGGGTCGTACCTTTTCACAATGAAGCAGCAGCCTGGAGCTGCTGGTGTTTGTCCCACTCCCTCATTATGTGACAAATTAGAGGAGATTTAGTAAACAGACCTGCTGAATCATGGATCCTCCCCAAACGTGACCCCAAATCCCTGCCCCTTTGTTTTGCTGTTTTCTGTGGCAGGGTCAGGCCAGGACATGGTTTTCCCGTTGGCTATATGAATTTTACTGCTGTGCATGTTCCAGTAAAATCAAAGGCCTTAGAAAAGGCATTCTGTGGAAGCTTTTTTTGTCAGGGCCTTTACTCTCATTATCGTTTAGAGCACAAGCCTCAGGGCTGCACCAGCAGAGTTGCTCCTGTTTGGTCTCGCTGGTGTTGCTGCTTCTTCAGGAACCTCCATCTCTTTGTGGATCTGGGATGAGAGATGYTCCAGCCTCGTTTTTCCGACACATTTAAGATGTGTGTTCTTCCCTGACCATCTCATATCTCCATTTATTAATGRGAGAACTGAGTGCCTGCTCTGGGACGCCCACGGTGGCAGTCGGCCCGGCCTCATTCCTTTGAAGAGTTTCCATCTGAGGGCTTATCTTTGCTGCAGAATRAGCTGGGTTTTCAGCCAAGAGATCTCTGCTCCCTGCTCTGCCCACACTCCTCCCAGCAGGGTAACAGTAAATGGCAGCTGAGTGACCCAGCAGTTGCTTTCGATGATGAGGTTAAATGTTGGAGTGGCTGCAGACATTGAATCCATCGCCCCCTCTGCAAATCCCCTGGTGCCTCCCTTGAGTCTTCCCAGTGATGTTGTTCCTTGTCATCTAGGCACTTCCCTGATTCAGCTGAATTGGGGACATTAACAATTAATTGTCCCCATTTGGATGYCACTTGGGCAGGCTGCTGTCAAACATTTAGCAAGAACAATCTGGATAGGAATATTGGGCTTTGAAAGCACACTTCTGGCAATATAAGTGAGAGAGAGCTGTCAAATGCAGCCTGGGCTGGGAGTAACAACCAACACTAACCTGTCTGGGGAAGCCATGGATAGTTTTATGTACCTTTGAGGGGTTCAGACAATCTTTTTTAAATCTCAGAATGTGTTGCTTTCTTCACCATTAAAGATTCCTTTTTTTTCCCCATTACATCTTTTAAATGTGCCTTTATTTTGCAAAGGTGCAGCCTTTGTGGTGATCAACCAGAAGGTATCAGATCCTTAATTCTGGCTGGATTCTGACCCAGCTCTAGATCAGCTCTCAATTTTAGATTTATTCCTCCTCACCATATTTACGGTGTTTTTTTACTATCAGTTTTATTCTTAGGGCTTCATCTCAGGAAACACATTTCAACTAAATTTCTCTTTATTCTGCAGAAGAAAGTACTTGGAGAAAATATGATCCAGCTCAGAAGAGAAGTTCCAGGGAGCAGATCTCCTGGTGTGAAGGAACAATTGCATTATTATCCCTCTGGAGATGGAGATAAATGAGATTTATCCTCTYCAGGGCAAAGCATTTACCAGGCAACAAAAGTTAAAATTCCTGGTAAGGAACAAGGTTGGGCTGTGCAGCAACAAGTGTTTCTGGAGAATGTAAGCCTGACGTGTGTGCTGATGTTACTCTTTATTTTCTGATRTGAAACCAGTCCCACATATAAAGGAAACAAATTTCATCCTCTTCCCTACATGATTTTCAACAGCTGCTCATGCAATAGTCCAGCCAGCCAGAAAGGAGATGTTCGTAGGTAGCTGAAAATGAAACCAATTTCTGTCTGTTCTGTGACTGGTTTCACTCCCRGATCCTCCAGCTCAGGGCTGGTGTCTTCTGCAAATCCTTGTAGGTGGGATTGCTGGTTAATGATTGCTGTAATTCATTTAGGTCACAGCCCTTCTTCTGCTCCTTCTTTTCACTACCTGAGGGAGAGCTGAAACACAGATCACCCAATGCACAAGTGCTGGTTTGATTTATTGCCACAGTCAGCTAAATCTGAGCTCTCTGCCCAGTATCYATGGCTCAGTTCACCTCGGGTCTCTGGCATTGCTTCTTACAATTGCCCTTCTTCTACTTACATTTCAAAACCTGAGAATTGTTCTGGTTTTAAGGATAGTCACACAGTTACACCTCCAAATGGATATGAGGACCATTTTCAAGATAAAAAGAAAATCTATTTAAAATAATTGGCTCGGTATTTTCTTGCTCATGTATGCAGGTACTTTTATTAAAAGTGCTCTGAGCAGTGTCATGTGTGTATGCAGCCTTGGATTAGACTGAAATGAAATTGTGAGAATTTATGGAAAAGCTTTTTGTGAGAAAACATCCTTAGCTATGTAGCCTTAGAAACTAGAGTTGGAGTTGGAGCTCGGAGAGTGGCTATGAATATGGAGAGCCAGGAGTTGRAATAATCACAAGGGAGGCAACTGCACCAGCCAGGATGAAAGATGAGAGTTTCAGCAGAAAATTGATCAAGATAACGAAGTAGGGGGAAGATGTCTTGTGACAGCAGCTGGATTTGTAGCATCTAGCCTCAAATARGAGCATGAAACATAAGTTTGCTTGGAGGAGGAAAAAAATCAATCAGGAGATTTCACATAGGCTTGTGAGACTATAGAAAGCTCCAAGACGCCCTGGAACGCTGCACCATTTACCCTAATCGGGGGGTGAGTCAGCACTCAATTATGCTCAGGCAATTTTATATTCAGTTTTTTATGCGTTGGCGACAAAGCAATTTAGATAATATGGTCACACAGCAGAATCACCTTCTTTACAAATCTGAGTTCCATTAGCTACAATAAAAAGTATGTCACTCCGAGTGCTCATTTCCCAGCGTGGAAGATAATCATCATGTGGGATCAAGAAGAAATCTCTTCCTCCCATTGCCAAACTCAATGTAATTGTGTGACATGGCTGTTTTATCCTTGCCTCTGAAGATCTTAGTTACGGCTACTCTTGAGACTACACAGATCCACTGCTGTGTGCAGGGGCTGTCTGAAACCTTTGCATTAATAATAGCGCATGAGATAATGGCTCCTACTGGGTCGTGTGTTCCAGAGAAAACATTCTGTTCTAATGAAGTGGGTCATATATATGTAGGTACACGAGGGTGGCTCAGCCTGCCCATCACAGGGTAAAGAGCTGTGACCTGTGAAACGGAAGAATCTCTGTGAAATCGTGAAATTGAGTTATTGGCAAGTCCCACGAGTACTGTCCTGGGGGGTTTCAAGGTGTGGCTTTATGCAGCTTTTTGACAGCAGTTCAGGAAAGATGTTATGTTAATCTGACCTTTAGCTTAATCTTTTAAGGCACTTATTATATTATTTTGGCAATTATACCTTTAGGAATCAGAATTTGGAGAGGAAATGAATGATTTACTATTTAAACCGAGTGATCATTTCAATGCCAGTGACAGATTGAGTCTCCCATGAACTACTCCTTACACGAACTGTGTTCGAAACAGGATGCACAAACTGTGCAAAATCCACTTTGGATGTCTCAGGAGCCAACACACAGCTTGAATCTTCATTCCCTTCCATTATTCCTGTCTCCATGACTCGATGGACTTTAATAGGAGCTGAGTAAGGGCCAGATCTGGAGCACAGCAAGCTSAAAGAGAAATTTCCATTGGCTTTTTCCCCCCCCATGGATAATACCCTTAAAGATTCAGGGTCAAACCTTCAGCTGTYATATCCTGGCATCTTTCCACTCAACTAACTCTTCATGTCTGCACAAGTACTAGGTTTCTGTGCAGCTGAAAAGGAACACCCTTCTTGGTTGGGATTTTTTTTTAATATGAAGAAAGTTTTCATGATCTTCTCATGAGGAGGATTTTCAGACTGTATTTATCTAGACACAGACACTTGAACTCATTTACTTTGAAGTCACCGTCATTCACACTGTCACAGCGTGACTGCACAGCAGGTTAACTCAGCACTTCTCAAATCAATGCCTTCAGMCCCAACACCAACAGCTGTAACCTGTGCCTTTCCTAAAGGTGATATTCTGCCTGCCACCTGGTAGTCACTAATTAAACTCTCCAAGTCCTGGGCTCAGAATAAAACACTGTTACTGATAGGAATCRGATTGCAGAAAGGCATAAAAACCCCTAGTGAACAGCCACATGATCCTCAAGAGATTGCTTATCACCTGAAAATTAAAATATGGATGACTCGTTACTGAACTGTACTGTTCTTGGTTGCTTTAAATTCTTAGGTAGGAACCATGCGAGATCTTTTGGGGATGTTAAAATTGTATTTCATTCTGGATTTTATTGCAAAAGATTGAGGCATCTCCCAATTTTTTCTTGATGGTAAATTGACAGTGTAGGAAACATCCCTCCTCCCCTTCTCATTAGAGGTGTGCCTCATCCTTTTCCTGAAGAGCTAGAAAACAGTGAAGGTTTCATCTGATCCTTTCTAAGTAAACAAAAAGCATTGCTGGGAGAGCCAAAGGATGCTGATTTGGTTTAGAGGACATGGAGTTTACATTTACTTCAAAAGGAGACCCCAGTAATTCTCAGATGGCATTTTTTTACCCTTGCTAGTGATAGTCAGAATGTAAAAAAATAGCATAATTTCTGTGTTYATTAGACAGTTTTGGTAAACAGTCACCCCTCCATTGCTCCCTCTTTCAGTTTAAAATGACTGAATGAAAGCTATTCCTTCATACTCAGGGTTTGGCTTTTTTGTTTTTTTTTCTCATTTATTATCTATTTTTTTTCACATTCAGTGTCTCTCTTGAATAAGACTGAACAGTTTTCCTGGAATTCAGTTTTCAGGAAGAAAAGATTGTCTTCCTAGAAAATGCTAAGTACACAAAATTCTTAAGTAAATTCCTAGTGAGACATTTTCAAGCTACCTTCATCTTTCAGAAACTGAAAGGGCAAGAGACCAGATGAAGGCATCTTCAGTGTTTATTTTTGACCCCCATAAAAGTTCTGACAGTTTCAAAAGCAGCTTTCTGTCTCCTTAAAACTGTTTATGAATCATTGTTTGGAATGAGCGTAGTAAAGCACTTGAAGCTGATTAACTTAGAAGTTCCATGGCTATCAGCTAGGACAGTCCTCACCTCATAATTTTATCTGTTAACAGATACAGCCCAACTAACTGACATTAAACTGGCAGGATCCCAGCACAAAGGTGAACTCGAGGAAAAAATTATATTGGATTTTAATAAAACTTTCTCCAAAGGTCAACCTCTCTAAGGTATGAAATCAATCTTCCTTCCTCCTTCTTCAGCCCGTTTATTCACAGCTATAGGAAATTCTAATGCTYATAAAATATTTCCCATTCCCTYCCYCTCTTATTACAGTGTCTATCTACCYGTGACCATTACTTTTCACAGCAGTTTTAGATTCCTTACTCCTCATTTCACTCGTTTTACCTGGTCTTCTCAGAATCTGTACTCCATGCTAAAAATGTCAGCTATCAGGCTTCTCTTCAAGAACAGATCCTGCCTCATACCATTTTTAAGGAAAAAAACCAAAACACATTTTGGCTTCATCCTTGAAGGTGGATGAAAGTTTGGGAAGAACAAAGCTTTGGYGCAAAATCTTTATTTCTCCTGGTTTTACTTCTCCTTCTTACCCAGCAGCTGCTTTCTGTGTCTTGCTCACGACTCCATCAACTTTTTCTACGTAAGCTACAATATTGGTAGCATTCCTCTTAGGAGAGAATGATGTTCTTGAGAGCTCTGAGCTCTAATCTCCTGCAGATCAGTTCCTTTTACTGATGTTGGCCCAGCAAAATGATATATAGAGATTTATTTTGTATTTAAATTAAGAAGAGTCAGTAATATCTAAGAAAGTACCACCTTAGAAGGTTTTCTTTCAATGTACTCTCTGCACAAAGCTGTAGATACCCAGATCTGGAACCAGCCTTTCAAGCTGTGGCATTCAAGCTCCAGCTCTTGGTAGCCAACTTTCTAAAATCTTGGCATTACTGGAGCTGCTAACATCACACACTGTAACAGCAGAGCAATTCTTGTTGCTGCTGTTTGGATTTGCCTGCTCAGCTGAGCTGTGGGGTGGGCCAGACCCAGAGCATCCCACAGGAATTTGTACCCAAACTTTTGGGGTTTCCAGGATGTTCTCAGGGTCACAGCCCATCACTGCTGTACTCTCTGTCCTCCATTCTCCCCCTTTTAAAGCAGTATTTCCCTCCTTCCACTTCAAGGGCTGTTYCTCCCCCTCTGTCACAACTGCCCATCTGTCCAGTCCGACAGACATTGCCAGGTCCTCCTGGCTCCATCCCTTCGCTGCATGTTCCCAGGACACTAACCCCATTCCTCGGCCCCCTGAGCTGCAGAGGGCCAAGCCCGGGCACAGCCTGGGCTGTTTTCCCCGGGGGCAGGAGGCTGCACAGTCATGGCACACATCCTGCCATGTGCATTCCCTTGGCAGCTCGAGCTSTGCCAGCCCCTGCCCGCCAGCTGCTCTCCAGCGCTGGGAACCAACACGTGCCCCTTCACAGGATTAGAAATGAGSTTGGGGCTCTCCTAGAAGGTGACCTGGCTGTTTTGCCTGAATTCTCCTCCTGGTTRTTCTTTTCTCCATTAAAACAACAACACTTACAAGGTGATTTTGTGGTTTCCCACCTCAAAAAACCTTTGTGGTCAGAGAGCTCCTGGTGCTGGGCAACACCTGATAGGTCCAGACCCCCTCTCTAAACTGTATTTATGGAAAAATCCCCGCTGGTAAAGTGAAATGTAAGAGAATCTACACTCCATTTCCAACTCAGTGCTAAGATATCTGCTGGAGAGCAGCCAGGCCTGGTTGCTCACACCGATAGATGGTGGGGAAAAGGAACATGCGTTAAAATCAGCAAATGGATAAAACTGGGCTAGAGAGGGATGAATACAATAGGGAAAGCTTTCCATTTCTTCAAGATCAAAGCCCAGGCTCCCACGCTAAAAGGAGAATTGTGTTCCTAAATAGGAAAATGTTAAAAAAGAGACTGCACTATATTCGGGAATGTATGATACAAAGCTTCATGTCCACCGTCAGGATAAATCATATATTCTGTASAGCAACATTCATTTAGCAGAGAAGAGGAATCTGTGAAAAGGACAAAGATGGGTGGTGAAAATTCTAAGCCTTTCTTCCTACAGCTTTAAAATTCTTGTMGTTGTTGACATAATAAGTAAAAATTTTCTTGGTTTCATTTAATTGCTTAAAACAACTTTCAAGATTAACAAACTGTATTTTGGCTCTGGACATTGTGTTGATCAATAAATAATACTAATTTAGATATTTAAAGAGTGCTAGCTATTWTTTGAGGAAGCAAATTTAGATTTCTTTAGCAGAAAAGAAGGTCCYTTTGTCGAGTCTCTGCAGCCTCTACAAGGTTTTGTGGTAATGTAGTTATTTTACAATGCAGAGATCTTGGATCCAGAGATTATTCTGCAGAGACCCAGACTGTGGCAATTGTAATTCAGTTGCTGATGGCTGTCTGCTGGCCAGCATTGCAGGATCTGGCTAYGAGCAGGGCAGGAGATCAAACCCTTCTCGTTTAATATAGATTAAGAAAGTCTTCTTACTTCTAATCTCACTCCTGCCTCCTGCCCTGCTCTGAAATACTTGCGTTGATTTGCTCTGCTGGGGAGAAAACTTGTCAAGGTCTGTCAGGAGAGATGAGAATATATAGTTTTTCTTTTCTTTTAAGATTAATCCTCCAGCTGAATAGAATTGGCAACATGAGTAAAATTTTGCTGCTGGAGTTATTTTGTATTGATTGCATTTTTAAAGATTTTTCTAGCAGGGAGAGGCAGACATTTTGTTATTGCTGTGTATTAATCAAAAGGGCTGAAAAACACTGCAGGCCCTACTCTGACCCTTGTGGATCAAAAAGCCAGTCGAGGTTTTAAGAATACAAATGATCCTGGATTAAACTCTGGGTTTAGGTGTTAATAATTTAACACTACTACAGCTTGGCCACCTACCTCTGACATGCTGTATGTGGACTACACTATGATCACTGCAGTTTAAAAGCCATTTTTTCAGACAAATAAGGATAAATCGAAACTTTCTGGAACAGCAGAAGTGGGGTGGATCCTCACAGACCTGAAGAGGTTATTCCTGGGCTAATGACCTGTCTTTAACATTTAGAATCATAGAATGGTTTGGGGTGGAACCWGAAAGATGTTCTAGTTGCAATTTAACACCGGATTTTTCTACAGCATGGACTGCAGAACAAGAAGCTTCCTTTCCATAAGCCCCAGAAAAGCACATCCCCGTTTTTACAGCTTTAAAGGATCCCATGGCTGCCTTGATTACCAATGTCTTAGCTCTGTACATTTAATTCAGTTCCTAATGCTTCTCATGTAGCGCTAAAGCCATTTAAAAGAAAGTCTCTGCTTTTACAACCCGGCTTTTTTTAGCAGCTCAGCAGCAGTTACCGGGTTTGTAAAGCTCCTTATGAAATCTCACCTGAAAACACTGATCTGCGGCGCTGTGCAGTTTTTCCCACTTCAAAGGGAAATCTGCTGCTGCCACCCCAGAACTGAGCACAGCGAGAGCTGAACCGTCACCGGTGGCTGATGTCACCTGCCAATGTGTGTTTGTTGTTCCAGGGAGACTCCTGTGCTCTAATGTCAAAACAAAAACAAAAACAAAACAACCACCTCTATTCGTCTTTTCACCTTCTCTGTTTAGGGAGTTGTTTCATTTTGTYTCTTTTTGATCAAAACAAATACCCAGGGCTCTCTTTCAGACTCCCAGAGATGCTACAGCAGTTCCCAGTGGTCTCCCCATCGCCAGTGCTTGTAATGTTATAATCTTCATYCTTTATTTTCCGTTTGGGGTGCACATTGATGACAAGTGACCCAGTTTTCACTGAAGGCATGTGCATCTAGATTTTAAAATGGGTGAGAAATACAAGGGGAAATTGTAAATATTTTGAGTCTTAATCAGRATTTTCAAGTTGTTTGCAATACTGCAATCCCAGTGGCATCAACATTGATACGTCTGAATAAAAACTGTATGTTTTACAATGAATTAAGCCTTCCAGCAGAAATGTTAAGCTGTGGAAAAATCCAAATATYACCCTCTTCTTTCCCTTAATAGTTTAGCTTTTAGGTTACTGCCTCCCATTCTCATACATATTCTCAGCCCTAAAGGGTTAAAGTCCTGGC